GTAGATGTGCGTCATGACCAAAGGGTCTCTTTTTTGGCCACCCATGTATGTCTACCACCTTTCCACAACGCTCGGGTAGCTTTCCAGTGTCCCTTCTTCGTGGCTGTAAGCCAAAACAGTGAACGCCTTCTCCTTCGATTTGAGATTGATAGTCAATTTTTTGTCACCAAGATGATGACCGATGTGAATAGTACACTGGTGTGCAAAACTTAAGGACGAGACAGATGAAGTATCATAACCTTTTGATAGCTTTGTGGACCGTTTAACGGTTCCTGTTAACTGCTTTCTTTAGTGCCCTGTGGCAGCTCTTTGTATGTGTGGTTAGGTTCCATAGAGTCATGTTACGCGCCAGTAACACGTCGTTGGAAAAGCTACGTTCGTCCCTAAGTTTTGCACACCAGTGTATTGCACTTGGTGCTTGACCTGGACAGTGTGGTTGGGATGAAACTCCCCGAATCAGCTCCAGATTCCCTGCTAGCTTTACGGCAAGTAGACACACACATCGCGTCACGAGCGTTTCTGACGAAATTCATCGGGCAAATTTTAGAGTTTTGCAGAGTAAATCTCTATGGCCACAATGATGCTGATGTTGAACTAACCAAGGTTTCCTCGCCGTCATGTCTGTAATAAAGTATACTAGCCCTGGTTAAATTCCGAAGGAAATTTTTTAATATCGAATATTTTGGTGCAGTTGTAACATGCTGTAACGATGGAGGATCTTTCCAGAGAAAGTATTGCAGATGTTGTTTGTCGTCGTTCGAAGTCGTCATCTTGCAGATAATTGAGGCAGGGTCAACCGTCACGTTGGACAAATTTCAAAAATTTTACGACCCCCCCCTGGAGGGCCTCGATACGACCCCCTCCCAGCTGTTACTATAGTATTTGATTCTGAGACCAGTTGACACAGCCCAACTCCACCCACATTTCCTCCAAAATAGCCGTCGAGCAATATATATCAACAGTGAAACGGCATTTTTTTCTTAGCACTCACAAAGCGTAAAGCGTCACACTACGACTCCCCATTTTTGTAGGATTGGCGCTGCCTCTGAGACCCCCTCGTTGGACTTTGCCCAGCGGACGTTTGACCCTGACTTGAAGTATGCAATGACTTGAAAAACAGAGAAGTTCCTGAATTTCTTCGGGTTTTCTTTGGTAGTTACTGATAGGGGCGGCTTTGGTTACTCATGGTGAAAGCCTCGACTGGACGCTACTCAGCTTTTGGAAGCTGGTATCATATCTTGTTCATAACTTTTACCCAAGGTTTTTTTTAAATAAAAATGAAATAAAACTCGAAAAACAGATGATTGCAAGACTTTCTTTCTAATACTGCATCCGTTTGTTTAGCAATTTCGGTGGGGAGCAGTAATCGTGACACTTTTTTCTCAGTAATCGGAGCAGTTCAGAATTGGATCCCCGCCAGGTTTATCTTAAACCTTTCGCCTACATAAAAAGCATCTTTGTGATACCAACTGTTGAATCTTTTCGGGTTCTTTCTACATTTTCCTCTTTCGAAGTCCTTTTTTAAATGCTCTTTAAATGGCAAATTGATCTAGCCTTTTCGTATTTATTATACGGTATAGTGTCCTCTCCTAACCATGCCATTGTTGCCGCTTGTTCTTCAGTTTCAACAGCTGGCAAAAAAAAAGCCGAAGGTCCACTCATCAGAAACCAGACGTAAGCGGCACGTAATCGCATCTGTTTCTTCTGAGGGACACTGAAATCGGAAACGATTTTTATTAGGAGAACAGTTCGCGTTCCTGCGTAACTCGCCTCTGCTGCGGTTCTGAAAAGGGATACCTGTTTGCTGAAGGAATTTGTAGGTCGAATCTAATTGGTCCATTATCTTTATTCAGGTGAGCCACTGGTGTTGTGCAAGGTAATCTTCTCAGCAAGTAATGGCTTACGAAACCAGATTACATGTAGCCGACGTAGTATCATATTGGCTGGCATTTGAACGAACACAAAACTACAAGCC